ACGACAACTGTGTGATTCATATGCAAGCACTACCTCGTTGGAGCCCTTTAAGCTCGCCCCCTTTTAAAACTAAGAGTAAGAGATAGTTTTGTACCTTTAAAAAGGGATTTGTTGCAATTGTAAAAATGGATGCTGTGTCATATGTGGCTGTAGGAAAATTGGGCGTTACGCTGTTACTGCAAATTAACTTGTTATGGATGTTCCGGAGACCATAGTGACAACAGTGCTCCAATTGTTAAAGAAGACGAGGAAAGGGTGCTCATGACGTTGGTAAAATGAATGGAAAATGTTAAAATCCTATGAAAATGATAACAATTTGAAATTTAATTGTTTGTGTATAAATTTGCATGTACGTATTTTTAGCTACTAATAGTTATTTGTGTACCAAGGCCGTAAAAGTGATCTTTTTTGGCCGAAGCTGCTGTTTGTGGCCGAGGCGGTAGCCGAGGCCGCAATCCAGATGAGGCCTAACAAATCACTTTTGGCCAAGGTGCACACAACATTTTTTAGGCGATCATCAAAAAAGAATTCAAAAATTTGCTCATAAACATATTTTTTCTGAAAATCATGGTTATCTTAGACAATTAAAAACAAAGCATTTCCTATCATGTAATAAATTATAATTAGCATCTTTGCGTGTGTTTTGTGCGTATCAAAATGGGTGATAGCGACAGTTCAGATACCCAAAATGAAATTTTGGAAGCTGCAAGCGTTGCGACCCTAAGTCATATATGATATAAGAGCAGGCGTTTGAGAGTAAAAGTACAATCGCAACTTCCTCCGCTGCGCAAGATTTTAATAATGTCAAATGCAATAGGTCCTTCGTAACTGTGGCTTCCAAGACTTTATAGTTAACATGCTGTACAATTATTAGAAACCTGATTACCTACTTTGATGGTAGGTATGGTATAGGTAGCTACTTGTGTTCTCGGTTAATTGCTGGTGATTATTCGTATAATAATGTAAGCAACAACATCTTCCTCATGTTTTGGTTCTACAATTCAAAAAGGTCTGCAAGCAGTAAAGATTGAAACGTCAAACTATAATTTTAAATGTGAACATTGTGATTATGCAAAATGGTGTGAAACATTCCTACAAGTCCGAAAATGAAAAAAACGCACGTGGATGGCCCAATCCTTGATGGCGCGAGACCAGATAGACGCTTTGTATCAAACAGATTACTGTTTCTCACACATCAGTTTCAAATAAGTACAGTTTGACAGATGTGTACAATAAAGTGAAACTTTATGGCCGCATAAGCGACCATAAAATCAACGTTTTTGTGATGATAGCCTAAAAAGTAGTTTTTAAACATTGTAAATTATAAGAGGTAGTTTTTAAGGGTTCAAATATTCTGAAATATCGTTCCAAACTCAACTCATCTGAACCAAATTTTATTCACTTAAGTTTTAATACATAGTTTTGTAAGCAAAGAAGGGGTAGTTTTCACCTCTAAAACATGAATGGCCTCCAACGGCGAAGGGTGTAAGTTAAAGTAATTCCCAAATTTTCGGGCAAATCGATGCATTTTGAAAAAATTGCTAGTTGTACTATTTTAAGCTTCGTCTTCAGGGCTATAACTAAAAGGTGATCATTTCAAAATTGAAAATATGTTTCTATGTCTTCAAGTGTATGTGAAATTTAAAACTGTGAATGGTCAACAGGCAACAGTTTTTTATCTCTACTTTGAGCGAATGTTTGTATCATCATCTTCATCAAATTTTATAGTTAAAGGTTACAATTTGAAACCTGAAACTAACAAGGTAGATTTGGGAAGTGTCGGCGCAATGGATTCCCAAGGGGCTCGACCCAGAACAGAAACGACGTAGACAACAAATTAGTGAGATTTTCTTGGTCTAGGTGATTTCAGACAACTATAAAACGCAAAAAGTACAAATTGTTCAAGGTATCCAACGAATCCCTGTCTGGCACCCTGTAGGTAAGTAGCATCTCGTTCCAAAACTCAAAAAACATAACAGGAACCAGGGGGTGTTGATTTTGATCGAATGCGAATACGAATGCTGTGGAGTTGTATTTTGCAAAATTACCACAAACATTTTTTTGAACGCGTTATTAGAAGAACCTTAAAATAAGTGTCCTCATGTTGCTATGGTTCGTTCTAATTTTCACAATAAAAAGCAACAAACTATAAGATGAATGTACAGTATGGGTGCTTAAGTCCAAAAGTGAGATAAAGTTCGTATTTTTTAGTAAAGCCCCCGCTCCCCCCCTCTTACTGTTCCGACGTAGCGCCACGTTCATAATATGCTCCCGAAACCACCTTTTGGAGGAGGGGGGAGGGCGAAAATATAGATTGCTAATGACTGGGTAGGGATTGCCTACCCATTCTGGAGCCAACTAGCTATAGTTTCTATATTTGTTTGATTTTTTAGCTCAAAAGTGGCTTACCTAGCCACAAGGGTAAGTAGTTTAGTCACATAAAGTTTTGTGGCACTCAGGGATAGAACTTTTTCAGTGCGGGTTGACGAGAAAATTATGGCCAACTGCTAATTACTTAGGGACACAATTACTTTGACTCAGCGCCACCCCCGATACCCACACAAAACCGAGATCTTGGCTGTCGTTGATCTGATGCTAGCTGTACAACTGATTTTATATTGGGGGGGTGGGGGGACAATATGAATATCGCAACGAAACGAACATTCTGATCACATTATTTATTAGCCACTTCTTTATAAAAAATTCGAACATGACCTCCAGGTTTGAATAATGAATAAGAGGACAACGATGCGAACTTTTTTCCTAACATCCCAGACTAGTAGATAGGCTAGGTTGATGGTGCCACATTTTTTTTAAGTTTAGGCTCGAGGTTAGGATGTGACTTTCGTGTTGAATGAACGCTTATTTTATGAGACTTTCGAGACCATCTGAGTTAGAACTTGGAAACTGTAGTCTCTATTATGTAACTGCCAATCGACTCAATCTGGCTACTTAGGAGCCGAGGAAAGGTTTGTACTTGTCATTTTTAACAAATACTCAACCAAATTCTGTGTCCCACAAACGTGTTGTACAAAACTGTTTTATTAACCATTTTTTTAATAATAATAAAAGATAAACTTCGTATAATTTTTCCTTTCGTTTACCATCGTTGTGCCTCTTTTTCTGTTAAAGGATGTAAGGATTGTAGACGAATTTCACACCACGCAGTTACAAAATAAACAAAACATTATATAAAAATGTGGAAAGGTATTATCCCCTCATAAGATCACATTTAATTGAAAAGCAACCACTCAATTTTTCACTTATAATTGCACAAGAGGTTTGTATTTTACCGAGTAAATTTGGGTTGTTTAGGTAATGAAAATCTGTTGCCTAGCAATTAGACGAGAAAAACTGCCAACTAATAAAAATGCGACACCGCAGGTGGAGCATTTTTAGGTTGACAGTTTTTCGAGTTCAATTGCTAAAAGGAAACAGATTTGAATTGCCACAACCCAAATTTATTCGGTTTAAATACAAACCTCGAGTGTAATTCGGCAGGACAATTTAACGAACAAGAAATTCACCAAACTAATCAATTATTGACAGACGTCAAACTACTCATATGGGTAAGGATAATGCGATTATTGGTTCGAAAATGAATAAGTGAAAAAACCACTAGTGCATTTGTCGCTGGAAAAGTTGCAGGTAACTTTTGCCGCTGTCAAAGTGACAATTACACTGCGGCTTATGTGATTTTTTATACATGAGTGGAATTGTCGTACTTAAATTATATATAGTCCGTCGTGAACTGTGTAAAATACCTGGAAAAACCTTCAAAAGAATTAGGTATCTTATGCAATAAACAGAGGAATATATCACGTACCTATAAAATCTAATTAACTACACAGTAGGTGACCAGGTGCAATGTAGCCAATAAAATACAAATGCAGAAAGAAAGAACTTACAGAAGGGTCTTAAAAAGATTGCAGTCGTACTTCTGCAAGATTGTTATCCGCAAAGGAAATTGGATAGGATTTCTATTTTGAGGCCAACTCTACACACGTTTGGTTTAAATTGCTCTGTCGAAGTGCTGACAGTTTGTAAGCTCTCATATCAACATATAATGATATAAAAGGATTCAACGTTCGCCATTTAAAGTTTGTTATCCTACGATTAAGGTTGTTGGTGAAGCCGAGATCCCGGAAAAACAAGCTCTCAAACGCAACTAAATACCGCAATCTTTAATCAACCTCACCCATGCCACAGAATAAGATCAGTTTCGGTTACACCGATGTTGGAGAAATACCCTTTCGGACCTTTATTTGAATTTGCTACTCGATTTACTATCAAAAGTGGATCGTATTATACCTCAAAGAAAACCAACCCTAAAGTTAACACAAAGTATTTTCATTAAACTTTTGATTTTCATGCAGGAAGCTTAAACTCATAAGGTTAAAGGGAACTAACCCTAGATCTAAATTTGCCATTCTCATTCTCGCACAAGAAAAACGTAATTTTTTGCAAGAGAAGGGTCAAGTTTTAATCACTTATGTCGGGGGGTGAATTACTTTGACATACCGCGTAACTTTATGATGAACTTCCACGTAAATTATAACAGATCAAATACAGAGATCCTAAGCATTCTCTAGAGCTCAAATGAATGCAGGATCCGCATACGTATACTCTATTGCATCAAAATGGTTGAAAACTGGGAAACATCAAATTAGCTTCGTACGTATATGATACGCTATCTTATCTCTCTAACAGAAATTATATCAGTCTCGTTCAATAGAAAATTGGAAACTTGTTCTAGAAGTCAACGAGGAAGCATCTCCATCGCATTGCGTTAATATTGAGAAAAAGCTAGCATCGATTTAAGGCTGTGATCTTAACATATGGCCACGACCTCTCAAACCACGTTGCTTACCAATTACCAATCCCATTGGCCCCTACGATCGAAAAGCCAACCGGCGTTTTCCCAATTTCTCTCAAAACCCAAGTCGCATAATGGCACAACTAATTAACATACAACCGCAAAATAGTACCAAAACACCTACCAAAAAACTTCAATGCGAACTAAGCTAATTGAATCACTCCATGTAAAAACTACCGGCACCACCGCTACCAACAAATACAATTCGCGCATCCGATTTTTAATTGAGAATAGAGCACAATAATCCTAAAATACCACAATCCGCTAGGCAAATAAAACGACATAAGTAAAAGTTTTTTTTTGCAGATCTACTCGGTTTTCGCAACAACCCTGCCAGTTGCCGTCGATTTACTACTGCGGATCCAGGTTTTCAGGCGCAAACTCCAGCATCCAGCTCTATCTGTATGCCCGGACTCGAGATAAAACAAGGAAAATACGCAAAGCTTATTAGAGATCACAAACATTACACACGCAACACTAATTTTCACCTTGCACTTCTATGTATTTTTTATCGCAGATATATGATTTGGTGGTGTCGTATTTCTGGGTGTAGTTAAGGGGTTGCAGCGACGCACTCAATAACGCTTTATCCAAAGTATGCGTTTAACAATGTGGCCCTTAATGGAATATCAGCAATTTCAATTTTTAAAGCGGTTACGCTATCATAAAATTGCGACGAGCTCCGCATACACAGAATAAATGAATTCGCGTTTAAGGGTCAGCGATGTATTGAACACATAAAGTAATTAAGGAAAATTAACTTAATAAGGGCTACATTTGCACGATTGTAACGAACGTTCTGGGAGTGTATATCAAAATAGGTTAGCAAAGAGAGAGACGTCATAAGTGCGTTGTTCCTGAAAATCTTTGAGAGACGGCTCTCGTTCCTGAAAGGCTCTGGAATGTCATTCAAGCCATTTTATAAAAAAACGTGAGCTTTAACACCACAAATTTGGCGCCATCCAATATTCCATATGTCACTTGTAAATTATTAGAGGGATTGAACTAGAGCACTACCTCCGTAAATGTAACGCAGAGCTCGGTACAGAAACCCATCAAACTTTCATATAAAACTGCCCTTATCACAGTGCATGTTATTATTCATGGAGAGGTTTTTGTCTTGAAACGTATGACGTCTTTTTGGACGCCTCGGGGGCTTCTTCAAACGTAGAGAATGCTTTATAATTCTTTTCAATGGCGAGTGTGGTAGTGTATTGCTCAAAATGAAAGGTTAAGTAGTATTTCGACCGCAGGGGTGCAAAAGTAATACTACAAGGGTATGCATGGAAAATAATACCCTACTTTAATTGGTTGAGAGTTTCATACTGAATTCCTAAATCGACTATGAATTCAAATTGTTATCGCTCATTCAATATGAAAGAAGGGTGCTTTAATTTGAACAAGTTAGAAAAGCTATCGTAAACGATTTACAATAAGCGCATTTCCACATTAATAGTATTTTTCCCGAGACCCCAGACAAATTCGTTTCAGCCATTTACCCAAAATGATAACGAACCATTATTTAAAAGGCACCTTCTGTTAAAATTTCGGAAAGATCCGCCTTCAACTGAAAAAGTTTGGTTTTCCCATACACAATTCATGTTTTGACGTGCAGTTCCAATTCATTTTCACTTATAATTGCACAAGAGGTTTGTATTTTACCGAGTAAATTTGGGTTGTTTAGGTAATGAAAATCTGTTGCCTAGCAATTAGACGAGAAAAACTGTCAACTAATAGGTTGACAGTTTTTCGAGTTCAATTGCTAAAAGGCAACAGATTTGAATTGCAACAACACAAATTTACTCGGTTTAAATACAAACCTCGAGTGTAATTCGGCAGGACAATTTAACGAACAAGAAATTCACCAAACTAATCAATTATTGACAGACGTCATCTAGTCATATGGGACAGGATAATACGATATTTGTTTCGAAAATGAATAAGTGAAAAAACCACTAGTGCATTTGTCGCTGGAAAAGTTGCAGGTAACTTTTGCCGCCGTCAAAGTGACAATTGCACTGCGGCTTATGCGATTTTTTATACATGAGTTGAATTGTCAACTAAAATTTTAGAAAAGGTGGTTAGAAAAAATTTACCTGTACATTCGCATTCTATTTCTTCATACCTGATTTTAATTCACTTTTATGCCTCTTCAGTTAAAATGTCGGAAAAAAATGGTCTACAAATAAGAAATTTGTGCTTGTGCGCTTCTTGACACATTTAATTTGATTGTATACAAAGCACCTTCTGTTAAGAAAAGAAACATTCGTCCATCAAAAAAGTATAGACGATTTTTATTTATATAGAAACTTTCGCGGGTATACGCTCAACGATTCCCCAAAGTTTCATCGCAATCGCATGAGCAGTTTAGGCAGTCATAGGAGACATACAGACAGACATACATTTATATAGATAAAGTAATAACCATGGCTGCCAGTAAAGTCAATTTTCTTTTTCTTTATCAATGCATTTGACCGTTTCCTAAATCAAATTGGTGTTTGATTAAATTGTTGCATCTTTCCGATCCAAAATGATCGCTAAAACTGGGGTTCATGTTTGAGTTTTCGCTAACCAAGAAGCAAAATGCAACAAGCGTATAGGATTTATAACCACAATAAGCACAAAAGTGTGTGAGGACTGAAAAAATTTTTGCTTTTTTCGTAAATGACGCAGTCAAAATTCCTTCCTTGGTGCAGGCTTCAGCACGATAACGAACCACAAAGCGAAAAAAGTAAAACAATAGCTGTTACGATAAAAATCTAGTAACTGCCGTAGGAACGACAGGCGCACGGCCAGACGGACGGACAAAATAGCCGCAATAGCGCATTTTTTTTGTTATTTTTGTGGAAGCAGGTATTTTTATCTCTTAAAAATTATAAAAATCTTCATGTGTGATACTGTGACAGAGTAAGTGATACCAAAGACCTTCAAAAATGAGTAAACGGTAGTACGGAGTGAATTATCAAATAATTAACCTCATACGCTGAAGCAACATGCCATTGAAGATCATCACAATTTATAAATGTTCTGGAAACCTTGTACACTTTTGACGAAACTAAATGCAATGTTAGTGCCGCGCATGCGTTAATGCTACCCTTGTGCCGGCATGTATAGTAAAAAAAGTTTACCAAAAAAGGAACTGTGTGAAAACATTTGCATATCACCACTTTCACCCCTACTTGTATACCACCTTCATTGTTGTTTGACACTCTCAGCACGTTTTTAATTTTTATATCGAAGGGATTTCACGTTTATTTGTGAACATACCATGAAACTGACAGTTCGCATAATTAAACAACTCGAAACTGACAGGTCCGTTTGAGAAGTGTAGTGAGGTTTCCAATGGATTAAAGTGTAGAATCGAAATCTGATAAATCCGACAGCAGTACGTAATGAAAATCCTTTGCAATATGTTTCAGTTTGCATCGTCAGAAATAAATAAGAATCTATTAAGACAGGTTTCTGGAACAACCTGTATATTTTAATCTAAAAAGATAGCAAATTAAATATTCTTTTCAAAAAAATAACACTCCGTGAATGATATTAGTTTTCTATACGATTTTTTAAAACTTTTTACCTCTACTCTTTGTCTATTAAAATATATTGTTTAATAGTAATGTCTTTTCAGCTACAATGTCAACATAGTTTCGTTTCTAAGAAATTAGCTTTTGTTTCATAGCCTTCTGTGGTTTAAAGTTTATATTAATCGCATAGTAAACCAATACCATCTATGATATTTATATTTTATTTACGTCTTTTTGAAAACAGAATTATTAATATGCTATCTTTTTGGATTAAAATATACGGGGTGTTCCTTTAAAAAAAATTAGATTACGTCCGTTAACTTTTTACTCGACCCCGTTTACTTATTCTGAAAACAGAATATTATTCAACAATTCTTTTCTATAAAAGATTTCTCTGTTAAAATATATTCATTATGAAATTCACAAATTTTTGAGCGAGCGAATAATTTCAATTTTTGATTTTACCGAAATGAATGGAACGTTGAAATAAAGTCAGTTCGCAAACCGTCAAGGTTTCATTAATTTGTATAAACATTCTGCGACAAAATATGGAGGAATTTTGATTTTACAATTTTAAGTGTGAAGGTTAAGAATTAAGATTAGAAGTTAAGAAACGTGAGTAAAGGAATTATGGGGTCTATTCGAGAATTATTTAGAAACGTTTTATAAGGGGACTTTATCAAAGTAGAATTTAATTGAGTTAAACGATGGCACATGCACAAAGTTTATGGATAAGGAGGGCCGATGTAAACAAGTGCTCGCATTTCGTCGGCTCTTGCCGAAAATGAAAAATAATGATGGAGATGGTTCGTTTGACTTAGCGTACGGAACAGTCCGTTGCGTGTATATTCAAATACGCATTTTTCCGGCAGCCAGCCGATGTTTTAAAGTTTTGTTTGTCAGTTAAATTGAGTAGTGATTTATGAATAGTTTTCCGATTGCTGCCCAAAGTCGGTGTTTACGAAATTACTTTCAAGTTATACGCGTTTCAAAGAATGTTTAATTTGGATTTTCAGTTCCCAAATGCGGATCTAATTAAATATGGTCCTAAGAAACTTCATAAGCTCATAAACCGTAAAGTCATTATCAATCAATCCTACGTATACTAATTGCATCACCATAAGGCGATGAGCGATGTGTCGTTATATCCCGATCCAATATTATCATTTACTATAAGATTTTATCGTGATTCTCTGTCTAACTATTCAGAAACGCTCAGAATTGTACCAAAATTGACTTGCCAATTCAGCAATATCTTGTACCGACTCAATGCAGGCAGGTGCAATCCTTCAGTTACGTTTTGAAACCTTACAGCAGCTTTTTTTCGCAATGTACTACTTTAGCGAAAATATATCCCAAGTAAGTGACCGCTAATTACACATTGTCTGAAAAGGGTTGTTATTGAAGGCTCGTATTGTATTTACCAAAAGTCTCCGAGAGTGGTTTTTAAAAAGTCCTAAGGAGCTTCTGATTCATGGATAGTCTACGTATTAAGTTTTAGGAGAACTAAAATATCAGGGTGTTATACTGAGGATTTAAGTAGAAGATTATTATTATTAAGTTTAAGAACGAATCAAAGAGGTCCTGGGGCCTTAGCATGAAATTTACTCCAAACAGAATATATTATGTAAAACTTTGACAGCATTACAAATATCCCAACTTCCAACTTTGAGTTGTTTGCGCCCTATAGGTATAGATCTATAAGGTGCATAGAACGAACATTGTGCACATAAAAACAGAAGACCACTTTAAAATGCTACATACAAAAGAATCGTCACATTTCATAGACTATTCATACAATTGTACCA